TGGTAACTAAGATTCTACAGCTCAACCTGTATTCTAATCTTGCTTGCCCCGACTCACACTTCTATGCCAACAGATTGATCTGCTGCTCATCAAGGCGACGTCGACGCTCAACCTGCTCGACATCTTCAGGAGGACCTACGACGGCTCGCACACGGACCTGCCCTACGTCATCTACCAGAAGGTGAAGAAGTTCTCCATCACGCCCTACAAGGAGAGCGAGACCGGCGAGCTCGAGGAGGTCGAAGAGATCATTGACGTCGATGGCGAGCTCAAGGGCTGTACGCCGTTCACCTGCGAAGTGATGCCTCAGGTGCGCCACAACAACCACCACAACTCTTCTTCTACTCATCTTTCCATCACCATCATACTCACTGCTTGCTTCTCTCTTTGGTGCAGACGTTGCGGATTGTTCTCTAAACGAACAGGAGCCTGAGCTGGTGGGCGGGAGAGGAGATCTTCTTCGCCTTCCCCCTCCTTCTTCTTCTTGTAGATAGATACCAATTAGCGCCCAACACCATTTTTAACACTATTCGTGGCTGTGGCTTCCACCCAAGCTTGAGCAAAAATATTTGAGGAATTTTATAGTTTTTCATCTGAAATTGATCAAATATTTTGGTTGCACTGCGGCGGAATGCCAGCGCGATTCACTGCTGTTGGCTTCTAGAAGAGAAAGAAGCGGGCGAACGCACACACGTAGACAACCCAAGACAGATCAGATCAAAAGGAAAATAATTGGAGGGGCGGCGCCAAGGAGAAGAGAGATTCGCGCAACACGAATTGATTCCCCTCTCGACGACCCCCGCAGGCGAATCGATTTGGGCTTTCAATTGATGCCGCGCGGTGGATGATGAGGAACGAGGAAGAAGATGATGGCACCGGCGCTGGGCTCCATTATGAAAAGGACATGATTAATCACCTCTTCTACTCGGCCAAGGGCAACCCACTCATCGACAACCAGCGGAGAGGCCAAGCACAGGCCTTGGGCGGCGAAGAAGACTATGGGGGGGAGGGGATCAACTTTGAAGACATCGATGAAGATGGTGATGGAGGAGAGCACCATCCCTTCTACCTGCCCCAGGGCATCACCGAAATCGACGATTCTGAGCTCGAGGAGTTGCTCTACTCCTCCGAAGATGACGATTCTGGTACAAGCCTCATTGTCCGCTACGCACGGAGCATTTACAAGCATGCTTTCATCCAGTTAATCTTAACCGTTGGTGTAATACTGACGATTGCATGCACCACCACCACTACACAGATGGAGCAGCGGCGGGTTTGGATGGTGGTGTCGGTGGGGGCGTACTGCCGCACTCGGCCAAGTATCAGGCCCTCAGCCTGCGGGCCAGCAGGGGCCACGACCAGCAGAGCGGCAGCCTACCGCACTACCAGTCGGCCGGCGAGCTCAAGCAGTACCACCACCCGCTCGGCGAGCTATCGCAGCAGCCCCCCTGTGCCCTTCCACCAGCACCAGCACCAGCACAGCAGCAGCGCGCACCAGTACTACAACTACTTCGAGGGAGACTCGGAGAGCGGTGACAACTCGCACACGAGCCTGCCCTGGGCACCCGGCCTGCCGCAGCACGTGTGCGTAGTACCCTGGTGCTTTCTTTATTTCTTATTATCAGCAGTCGTCGTGCATCTCACCTCGCTGCGCTTTGTCGTCAACCAAACGAACAGGAGCGAGGCGGAAGACGTGCTGTATCGCTCGGCCGGTTCGCTGTTCACCCAGGACTTTGCCGACATCTTGCAGGTTCGCTTTCTATTGTTTGATCCTCCGTCGCGTCTGTGTTTTTCTTGTAATTTGTCGCGTGGGACAACCAATCGTATTGCGTGGTGGGGATAGTTCATTTCCTCTTTTTTTGCTTGATCACGTGCTGACGTCAGCACGTGCTACTACAAGCGGCTGCTTTCGAGCAACTTGCACTCACACTCACTCTTACACCCTTTCCGCTGACAGTCGCGCGCCAAGACGTCGGCCTCGACCGGAGACATTCCGCTCTACGTGGCGTCGCCCAACGAGAGGATTGTGGACAACGGCCGCATCAACGCCGGCGGCTTCCAGAAGAGGCAGCAGCTGGACATGGAGATCGCAGGGCTGCAGCAGCTGCAACAGCACTACCACCACCACCATCAGCAGCTCGACCGGGAGTGGGAGCGCGAGCGCAAGTGGGAGCTCATGGAGAAGGAGCGGGAGCGACAGCGCAGGAATTCGTACGACACGCCGTCACCGACGTCGTCGGCGATATGGAGCAGAGCGGTGGGCGGCGACGCGCAGGGCAGTGTATATAGGCAGCAGCACCACGGAGGGAGCGGGAGCGGCGGTCATTACCACAGCAGCGGGAGCCTCGGGGGCATCGAGTCGGCGTCGCACAGCCGCCCGGCGGAGAAAGCGGTGAACAAATCCACGCCCAGTCTGCCGGTCAGCGGCCTGATGGCGCCGACTGCGCCCAAGTCTGCGCCGCTGCCGCAGGAAAAGAAGCACACGCCGCCGCCGCCGGCGACAGCGCAGCCACCGCCCGGGCCTCTCCCGCAGCAGCAGCAATCGCAGCAGGGCGGGTCGACGGTCAAGCTGACCCCGCCGATCTACAACACGCCGTCGTCGTCGCAGCATCAGAAGAAGACCGTCTGGAAGCAGCGCAGCCCACCGACACCGCCACAGCACCAGGTGCCCGGCGGCGGCTCGGCCCCCAACGCCGGCACCGTACCGCCTGCACAAGCTGTCGCTTCGGCGGACGGCGCGATTGGAGGCGCGTTCTTGACTAGTGAGCCTGGGCCATCGCAGCCTCAGGCCCACGCAGGCCAGCTCCCGGTGCGTTGCCTCCTCTCCTCGTCGTCGCGCGCATCGCATGCACCAGCGTGTGGGCGCTAACCCCCGTTGAGCAGAATCCACAGCGGTCGCCCGTCCGCCAGGGCACGCCGGGCAGCCAGCACCAGGGCCAGCACCAGCCGATGATGCTGCCGCCCGGCGTGCGCGCCCTCTCACCGCCGCGATCGCCCACCCGGTCGGGCGCTCGCGGCGCCACGCCGAATTCCAACTTGCCCCAAGGTACTGCACACGTGGCTCTCTCTTCGTTCCTCGATGGAGCTGGAATGCGTAGCATGCTCACGTTTGCCGCCTCTCTCTCTGTGTGTGTTGTGTGTGTGCGTGCGCGCGCGTGTGTGGTGTGTGTGGTGCAGAGTATGTGAGCCGACCGCGGCCACGACAGAACAATAACAACAACGGCGGCACTGGCAACGGGAACAACGTCAATAA